GGTCCCGCCCGCCGCAGGGGCGGCCCCGGTTCGGCCCAGCCCCGGTCCCGGCCCCGGTCCCGGCCCCGGCTCCGCCCCGCGGAGCAGCGCGGCCAGAGGCGCGGAGGGGCGCGCAGCGGAGCCGCCGAGATGCTGAGCTCGCCCTGGGCGCGCTTCTACTCCAACAGCTGCTGCCTCTGCTGCCATGTCCGCACCGGCACCATCCTCCTCGGCGTCTGGTACCTGGTGAGCGGCCAACCCGCGTTTTTGGGGGGCGGAATCCCCCCTCAGCCCCGCGGGAGGCGCGGGGAAGGGCGGCCGCGGCTGTTGCGGGCGCGCAGGGGCAGGAGCTGCCGGGACCCCCGGGGTCCCCGCGGAAAGGGGGTTCGCGGGGCAGGCGCAGAGCCCGCGCGAGCGCTCTCGTGGCGCCCCAAAACTTTCGTGGGGCATTTCTCGGGCCAGCGTTGCGGGACCCTGCAAGCGCCTTAGCCCCTGCCAGGCCGCCCACGCCGCGTGGAGATGATGTCTTGTCACTTGGACCACGGGAAGGGGTCAGAGGTTCTTGCATCGCTGCCGGCCGCTGTTTGTCAGATAGTTGTTGGTCCTGGCCCACCTGGTACCGGGTGCTAGGAAACCRTCTATTCCTTGGACATATAGAGAGTGAGGAACTGGCCCTCGAGGCACAACTCCTGTGGTCGCCCTCTGTCCCAGAGGCCACTTAACACGCAGGGAAAGGCTCCTGCAGGAGGAGGTGCATCCAGCCCGCGGCCCTCCTTCGGCCTCCCACAACCTTCCCTCAATCCCTAGGGCAACTCCCAGGGAAAGCAGCTTTGCCCAAGCCCGCCCTGCCGTAGCTGCCGGGTTTGCAAACATGTGTCACAGCGGTAAAAAGCGCCGCTTTGTCACTCCGGATTATGCAGATGCACTTCTCAGCCTGTTTAGTCSTCAGCCTCTCTTGGTATGAGGAATAAGTCTCCGTCGGATGCCAAGGCTGGGCAGAGCTGCCTGCCAAGCATCGTTTTTCAAATGATTGCAGACGGAAGCAGATTAGACCCMGGCTTATTTGCTAACTGCTGCGGCTCTCCTCAAAGCAAGTGAAAAACGCAGGGCTGCCCTCCATTGTAGAGCATCCTGTTAAATAAATTCGATTAGTGTAATTAAAAGGATGTCATTAATGTCCTAGAAATCRTATAAAATGATCCATAGCCTAGAAAATACGTGTTTCACCACTGAGAAAATGGTGCATTGGTTGAGGTATTTATTGTTCTTCAACTAATACCACAGACTGAGGATATTTCATTTGCCTTTATTGTATCTGTGATCCTTACAGTGTTGGAAAAAAAGACTTCCTCCCTTAACTAGTTATAATTGAGTTTCAGTAAGTTTTGCTATGATGACCTAAAACCTGCCAGGATGCTTATAATCTCCTTCTGTCTTCAGTTGAATGAAACCTCTTCATATGGGCTCCACAAAGACAAGAAGACCAATATTTTTGCCGTTTAATAGAACTAAAGATACTTGGGGAAGAAATAATGAAGTGTATCAACTAGCCTTGGATAGGAAGAAAAGCTTGGCTGTGTTTTAGGATTAGTTATCTATTGTATTGTCAATGCTTAAATTTTACTGACAATATTTTACTTCATTTTCTGCAGAATAAGATTAACAATTTTCTTTGCACATCTTCTTGTTTTGTTTCTTTTTTTTTTTTTTCTTTTTTTTGGATATCTTTTTCAAGGGAGATTCCAGAACGGCTTCAAACTGACAGTAGCCTTTTGATTATAAGGTTGAAGGCTATTAAGAATATCAATATGCATTTATGCTTCTAATAAACCCAAACCTTTCTGTTAGCTCTAAAAAGTCATAAAGTATTAAATAAATAGGGATATCTCCCCTATTTGAGTCAAGTGGTTGTGTTTCTCAAACCCACAAGTGAATTATGAATTTTATCTCAAAGTTCAAACAAACCAACAAAGAAAATGTGATTTTTTTCAACACACAAATGTATTTTCTGCACACTGTTTGCCATTATGCTTTACAGGAAATGACTTCAAAAAGAAAAAATCCCTCTAGAAAATAAATAGTTTTCCTGTCATTTTTTTTCATGTATCACTACCTGTGAAGTGTAAGCTTTATTAATTCTGTGACCGTTAATGCTTCAGTTAATGATTCAGTTGAACAGGCTTCTCAAGGAAGAAAAACGGTACCTTCTAAGTTTTACCAGGCTTCAGAAATAGCGTTTTCACATGTTGATCTGATTTTGAGGYCGGATAATTTCTGGAGGCAGAATGTCATGTCAGAATGAATGTGGAAAAACAGTCTGTTTCCCTGGGATAATATTTAAGCCCTTTAGCGTTAATTGATGATTTGGGACTCTACAAAGAGTAGAGAGAGGGGGGAGCTGAGGGCAGGTGGCTGCAGCATCCGAGCACCCTGCCCAGAGSTGCAAGGAAGGGGCGAGCGCTGTGTTTCTAACAGCCAGGCACCCTTACAGTAGTCTCCTAATGTATCAATAGCTAGGAAATAAATATTTAACTCTGCCCTATTTTAGAGTATAACAGCTCTCAGAATACTAATGTTTCCTAGCTATGGTGTTTCAGGTTTTCTTTTTTTTTTCCTGCTAGAGCTGTATGCATTGCATATAAAATAATATAATGTAATGCAGCATTGTATAGCATTCTAGTATTGCATAATATACATGCTGTCACACAGCGCCGAGGGGCCTCAATGCCCAATGAAACTTCTAAAGGAAGAAAGGGGCAGCCCAGTGTCAGTAAGATGCAAATGCCTGAAACCAAGGTCAAATAGGGCTGCAAAACAGCCCCCATTTCAGGAGCTGTTTTGCTCTCTTGGGGAGGGAGGCTTAAGGAGGGTGACACAGTGTTGAATGCAAAAGACGTGCTCAGGATAAAAATGCCAGTAAATAACTGGCTAAGGGGTAATATTCATTCCAAATCTTGGGACCAGCCCCATTCTGCTGGTTATTTTAGTTTTTTTCACCCCCAGACCTGAACTTCACGCTTCTCTRTAGAGTATCAAACATGAAATCAGAGGTCTCAAGTAACAACACAGGAACATTTATTCTGGGCGCAAAGCTCTAGCAAGTGTCATACTTTGAAAATAAAAGAGGGAAAATGAGAAAATCACCTCCATTTCTTTTAGGCACTTGGGCTGGTGTGCTGTTCAGGGCAGTGACATCTCAAATGATCCACTTTGGGTTCTGAAACGTGCCTGGAACTGGAGGGCAAGCCAAAGCTGACTTCTTTCTAAGTTCTGAGTGATCCCGTTAGTGTTGTTGGGTCAGAATTAATACCTTCTCTGGTAAGCTCTTTATCAGCGTTTATACACACAGCAGGTTGTCCTCCTGAGTAACTGGATTTCCTTTTCCTTTTTTGAAAAGCAAAGCAGGAGCCGTGGCTACGGTGCTGACAGTGTTACCAGGGGGGTTTCCATGTCCTCCAAGCACTGCAGAGGGGACTAAACACACGCAGAGGCTCCACTGGCCCCATCCAGGACAACAAGAATTAATTTCCATTGACTTGGATGTGGGGGCCGGGGCCCGGCAACTAGRCCCCTCTTGGGTCCCCTCTGGGGGCTGCCCTGCACCCCCAGAGCTGTCCTGCAGCTCAGGACACTGCCCTGGGAAAGAGGGGCTGATATAAAGGCTAGGGGAAGGATAAGAGGCTTTTATTGACTGAGAGTTGTCAAGGCATTCAGGTCCCCTCTGAAGGACACGTGGTAGGGACGTAAATAGAAGCCTAAGCTCTTAGCCAGGATGGATTCAGCATTTGAGATGATATTTGGGGAAAGTTTAATGCACTTCTAGTGTTGTTTTTCAGTTCTGGTTTTTGCTCAGGATATTGTTGTGAAAACTTGTATAATTTCTGTCTGGATCCCACTTGTTTTTTTTTACTAACATGGCTGAATCCTAATGGAACTTACTAAGGTCTCACTGTACAATTGATTTTTCAAGTTGAATGCCCTGCTGAGATCAGTAGAGTGCACTTGATGTCAAAAGGTGAATCAAGGTTTGTGTTTTGGGACTGGGCCACGCTTAGTTCCTCATCTTTTTCAAAAGCAGGTGTAAACCAGTATGATGGCCATGTGCTTAAATAGCAGTTAAGAGATTCCYATGGTAGTTTTACAGAGAGCTGAAGATGCTGGTTTACGCTGCAAGGAGCAGAGGTCCTCACTGACTGCTCATGTGTGYGGAAAAATCTCGCTGTCAAGAACTGAATGTCCAAAAAGAGACAGAGGAGACCCAAAACTTTATTCGAATGTCCCCGTGGGGTCTCTCAGGTTGCCGGGGGACGCAGCCCCCCTTTTATCCTGATTTCCCGGYTGCGGTGCCCTCTCCTTTTCCCCATGGGCCAAGGGACTCAGGAGTCACAGCCTGCCCGGGCACCTACACCCAACTCGCTGCTCCCTCCGCGTGTTGGCACCTCAGGTCACTTGACTCCTTTGTGTCCCTCCAGTCTCTCCCCTCACTCCTGGCTCCACTCAGTCTCCCACCTGCCTCAGTTCCTTTGTCCTGCTCATCAGCCAAAGAAGGGGGAGCAATTTCCWCCTTCCCTTGTAAAGATRCAAGCTGACGATCTTGTGGCCTGTGTGTTCTGCTCAAGCCCAAGCTTCTTGTGTGTTTTCCACACACACCCATGGAGAGCTGCAAGCATGGGGCTTTCCAAGGGGTCCTCCAAGGGAGAAGGAGTAAAAAGAAACATTAACGTCAAAATCTTAAYTATCGCTTCTTTGAGGGGCCAGAGCTGGGTGGTGCCAGTGAGATGAGCAAGTCCCGTCCCTTGGTAGGACATGTTGTGTCTGCAGCTGGTGACATTTCTCTGCTGACGGGGCAAGGGACCGTGATCGGATCTGAAATGACTTGAGGTTCCTGATTCTTGCTGTGGAGATGGCTGCAGTGAGTAAAAAAATTATATCCTGAGCTCCATGATTATAAAGGTATTTATAATTTCTTTATTGTCTGTCCTTCCATTCATAACATGAAAACTGAGATCTTGGGGGAAAAAAAAAAAMAGTAAAAAAAAAGAACAGATTAAAAAAAAAAAAAAAAACACTTCAGGGAGAGCTCCTGAAGAAAGTGGGAAGGAAAATTGGAATTTATTATCAAAAAAGAATAAGCAGGAGGCCTGCTTTGTAAAACTCCCCCATATGTTTGATTACATGTTGAATATCCATCTGAGACAGGTATCAGAGGAGACTCAAAGTGTTTATTCTTAGAGTGGATCCATCCT